ACCTCGTGCCTGCATCCGGTGCCTCAAAATCGAAACAAGCATTGTGAACCATTCATAAATTCCCGAACCTGAGACCTTGGCTAGGCTCAGCCCCGCAATCCTCCTCGCTTGGCCTGCCAAGGCCACCAAGCGCAAAGCAGAGGGCCCTCCCCCTATACGCTTGGCACAACTGGCGCAGGCCCGGGGTTCTTCGGCATCAGTCGGGACACCCAAATCACCGAATCGAGCAGCTACGTAGTATGACCATTCAATGAAGAATCGTTTGCACTGCCATAAACAGAAGAGGCTCGGTTGTGGCTCTACGAAAGTTCTTTTTGTGCTTAGAAGTCCCACTGGTCCTCAATAGAAGAGCGACTGCTGCCGTTGCTGGTGGCCATTATTTTTCTTTCTGGGCCAATCATGTTTACGAGTTGCCATGACTTGCTTAGTCGCTCTTCCAGTTCTCTGAGGTACAGCTCTTCATTGCTCACATCTAGCTTCACTTGTAATAAGGGCTGACGCCCTAAACTCCTAGACCCTAAACCCCTAAACTTTCACAGTACACCCAACACCCAGGGCATCGGCAATGATGAGTTTGTATACAACGGAAGCTGGATCCAATGCTTAAGGTGATTGGATGTGTCTCCTACGTTTTGTTCCCACCCCGACACTCCATTCTAGCTATCATAAATGATCATAAATCTATCACAGTTCTGTGGCCTCTGTCTCTGTGGAAGGCCAATGTCAAGGCCCTGGTGCAGGAGCATGCACCCAAGGCCACGCGCACTGAAGGCGTGAGGGTCTTCATGTAGCTCCGTTTCACATGGTTTGGATTTGGGGGTTTGGGGCTTCGGGTTTAGGGGTCAGAGGTTTAGGGTTTAGGGTCGTTTAAGTTCTAGGTGCTCTGTGGTCCCGAAACTATTGCATGGCTCGCAAGGCCACTCCAGCCAGCAGCCTGCAGCAGAGGCGGGGCAATCTCACTTGTGGGGAGCAGCTGAGCTGCTTGGTGTGGCTTCGCGCGAGAGTCGAAGCTGAGCACATGGAAAATTCCTCAACGAAGCGCCGCACGAATGCTTGTCAAGTAGCATTGCAGCAGTTTGTTGTTGTCACATCTTCACGTGTTAAACCTTAATGTGTCAATGACATGACTGGTCTTGCTCATGCTCCATCAACCCGAAGGGCTTTCAATCTTGGTAATCTGCCAGACGCATCGTGTTCCAGAGTCGATATTCGGCTCTCCGGGTCAGTCTTGTTGGGCTGGTCGGATTTGTGTATTCCAGTCTCGTCTTCTCGTTTCATCGTAGTCCCATCTAGTCTTCTCCGTGATGTGTATGTATTCTTGTCACTGTCAATGTAGCAGTCTAAGCAACATACACATAATATGCATGTAATATACAAGTACATTTACATATATACATATACATTATATACATGTACTGGTCAGGAATGTCAAGGCTCGTTACATACTTGTGCGGTCCTTCGAAGGTCTTGTCTCCATGAATTCCCAACCCTTAACCCCACACCCTGGTATATAATATAATTCTAAACCCTAAACCGTAAACCCTGGTATATAAAATAATTCTAAACCCTAAACCCTGGTATATAATATAGACCATGGCAAGCTTGAGGCCTGCACTCTTCGTCGTCGGCTTTAGATGTCATGTTGGCCTGAGCGGAACTCCATTCCAGCTCCTGTAAGCAGGAAGTTGCAAACCAACTTGGTAGCTGCAGTGGCTCGCCTCACGAGTACAGAGTCACGGAGAGGTCCAAACCCAAAGCCTACAATTTGGCGCAGCCGAAGTCAGGATCCGATCCAAGTCCTGGACGATGATTAGCCGGCGTGCCTCGTATGGCAAGCTACGACAGATGGCAGCATCGACAAAACAGCACCCAGCTTGAATCCTGGAGCCACCACAAGCAGCAACAGCAATGAGACTTAGTTTTCAGAACAGTCACATAATTTTTAAGGCCTCTTGATTACCAACTATAATGAATTCCAATTGGTGTTGCCCTGTCCAAGGCGAACTCGACTGAGGGCCGAAGAAAATCGCTGAAAGTCGAGTTCTCAGGGATGAGGTCGGATGCTGCTGGTGTGATAACTTCTCAAAGCTAGATAGAGCTGCAAATAATTCAGTAAGACGCGGCAACTTTTGCAGAATATCGTGCTATGCGGCTTTATATATAAGATGCTCTATCATGTTACACTGCCGATTTTCTATGCGTATATGAAAGATAAATACTACTATATTTTCCATTTATAATTGAAAAATTAAAAATATAAAATCTTGGAAATTTTTTCTATGAAAATAATCTACAAAAGCAGATTGGCTTCATAAATTCTTATTATTCTGAATTTTTTTTTGATATGATGTATTAAGAATAGATTACGAAATTTGATGATTTTGAATGCATAATTTCGAACGCATTGATAGAATACTTTGAACCGAAAATATAGGATGAATAGCAAAAAATATATAAGGAAGATCGATTTTCTAACATTAATTTTAAATATGAAAGGTAGATATCTAGGAAAAATTTTATATAATAAAAATTCGATTGTTGTATAAAAGAAAATAAATTAGAATTTATCTTTTTAAAATATTCTTTTTTTTCTAAAAATAATAATTAATTAAATTATAAAATGGAATTAATTACATTCCGAATAAGAATAAAAGATATATATATTAATAGAAACACTTTAAAATTTGAATAATTAAGGAATTATATATAGAATAAATATAAATTATTAGAAAATAAATATAAATTGATAATGTAGATTTTTCTATGTATCCGAAATATATTATCGATATTCTTTTCTTTAATTTTTTTCTTTGATATAAAATTTTTTTATTTTCATAGATAAAATAAAAAGAGTATGAGAAATCTTTGAGAAAAATATATAGTATAGATGGCGGTAAAATATTCTCTGGTTATTCAAGAATAAATACATTACATAAATCGGTTTATATTGGGATTAATATGAAATATTCGCCTTTGGAATCTTTAGTTTTCTATACGAGGGGTCTGGGATAGTGAATGATACCAAAGATTAATAATAAATTAAAAAGAATATCTAAAATATCGAAAATTTTATTTAGGCATTCTATTTTTTAATAAAATAAAAATCTATATTTTTCTTTAACATACGAAAATTATAAATAAATTAAAGAAAACGAGAATGAATTAATTGAGAATATGAGAATAAATTAAAATTTCGTTAAAATATTCATTTTTTAATTTATTTTATTATATTATAGATTCATGAAATATTCTTATATGATTATTATATATAATAATTTCTTAATTTATTTATGAATTTTAAATAATTCTATAAATTATTAAGGCTAAAATTTTTGAATTTATCGCTACCAGCTATTATGATCTAATATAAGTTTTTTTTTGGATAGTTGAAAGAATATATCTCTAAAGTATCTTATTTTTAGCCTACAGCAGCTAGCTCAATATATATAAATAATTATGACGGATCCCAGAAATATTATTAAAATATATCTAAGAAAATAGAATCTGGATTCTTTTTATTATAATAGTTCGATCATAAAATTCTATATTGAAAAAATTCTTAAATAAGATGATAGTAATGAATTTGAATTAAAATATAATCTTATTCTATATATCTATAAGCCTTATAATAATAATTTCATGGATATTATTTATTTTTTCGCTTAATTCTATAAAAATATATATCATAAATCGAAATATATCTGAGAAATAGTTTTCGAAGATTCATTTGGTAATTTTATTCAAAGCTACTAATATTCGAAACGACAGTCTTGATCTATAAGAGTTCCAAGCCTTCTCTCAATCAGCTGAGATTATTATTTAGATCGATATAGAAGATTTTATTATTAGGTAGATCTAATTCATAATCATCTTTGAAATCAGAATTAGAATTATAGAAATCGAAAGGAATTATTCTATTTTATATTCAGTGCTTCCAGCCAAGCACGCGACGTCTCGCGCGGACATATCCTATATGGGTCAGTGGCAAACGACCGAGCAAAATAAGGAATTCAACTATTCTAATAAAAGGCAAGATAGAATCCGACGAGAATAATAATTAAATTTATATATAAAAGATTAAATATCTATATATATGATAATATTTATTAAAAATTTCCGAACTTTGGCAAAATATATCTAATGAAAAATTTATTTATATTTCTGTATATTTTCTTCTCTTCAATAATTTCAAAATAATTCCTATATATCGATTCAATTTCTTTTCTTGTAGCCTTACCCCAAATGCCATCAATCTTAATTTTATTTTTCGAAAAAGAATAAATTATTAGATTAATTTCTTAGAGATCAGAAGCACACGGATTTTCTGCAAATATAATATCTATATCATACCAGCACGAGAGCCATAATAATTAGCAGGCACGACACTATATCTCTAATAAGATAGAGACCTCAGAAATTCAAGATCAAGAATTTTGATATTCTGAAATAAGATATTTCGAATTGAATATATACGATTTAATATTCTATAGGAATATTCTCAAAATATTTAGAAATCTTATGAAAAAATATGAAATAAAAATACGAAATTCGATTAGTCAATCTAAATATTGATTTATAAAAATAAATATATATTAATTTATAAATAACGCAATCTATTGATTTTTATATATTTATTTGGGTTTCTAAATAAAGCTCATTCTTCTATTAATGATATTTTTTAATCAAAACAAAAATTTCAGTTTGAATCAAAAGGAGCGGCGCTGGTAGGAGATTCGACGGCCATGATATGTTTATTGCCTTCCGCTCATTCGCTAAATTTGGGGCTCGAATCCTGCAGGATTTGATCGACAACCTTAGATGGTCCCAGGCAAGAAGGTGTATCAAAGCTGTCCATAGGTATACGGTATAGGGCTTATGCCGACCTGTGAAAATGCGCAGTCAACGGTTTGTGAAGATTCTCAGTGTCTGAGCAAGCGCAGCTCTAACTCTTGACCACACGGAGCCTCCTTTTGCTGCTGTTGCACAACTGCGTTGCTGCTCTATTTGGGCGGCTCTGCTGAAGCTTCTGACAGTGCTCCCCTGGCAACCTTGCGAGCTGCAAGCCAGACAGTGCTGCCTGATTCTATGCCGTAATCCTCAGCTGCTGGGACTTTGGATCCTTATGTCATCTTACCGCCAGTTTCTCCATCCATTCAAGTTGTCTGTGTGCTTATCAGTAGGGGAATGACAACCCATGCCATCCTACCACGTCCCATGAGCATACCACAATCAAATTGTCATGTCGTGTGGTTTCACCAGAAGAAAGTCTCGTGTTCGCAAGCTAAGCCTAAGCCCATCTCACCCGACGACGGCCGAGGTAAGTAAAGTAAAGGCCCTTATGCCAATGCCTCCTTGAAGATGCTGTGTCACAGGGCTACCGGATAACAGCCAAGATTCTGAGAGGTGGCGGCCGTCCTCGAGTGATTTCCCCTGGAAGACCCAGGCGCGATACTCCGGTGCCACGTCCTGTCAACATTGCTAAGCACGAGCTCGAGCTATCGAAAGGGCTTTGAAATTGAGCTTGGGCTAAACAATCTGCACCAATGTTAAATCATTTTCTCATGCATTTGGACTCGTCTCTGGTCGTTCGATTGTTGGACAGAAGCGGATTCGACTCTCACACTCGGGCTTGAGCAACATGGAGGCCTATAAGAGTCTGATACCCTAAACCTCTAAACCCTAATCCTCTGATCACCCAGCTCTGTCTTGAGCGCATCCGCCCTTTCGGTTCCTTGGGCCTCACACGTCAAAGAGTACATCATAATAATAGTATATAATAGTATACTATACTAAAATTTATACTGTACTATTCTAGACCGCTATAGTAGATTATAGTATATTATTAACACTACGAATATTACGATCTACAAAATCCAGGCGGGCCGGGAAGCCCTATTGCCCTATGTGCAAACTGTCAGAGCCATCCATCCCTGCGTCGCGATGTTGGGGGATGTTGGGGGGCTTATGTGCCCGTACCCAAGAGCCCAGACGTCCTTGAAGCAGCCGGGCGAAGCTTCTTCGATCTGGTTTTTGAGCTCCTCGACTGAAGAACAGGACTCTGTCTCGAGGCGTAGAAAATTGCCATCGAACGTGCGGACGGAGATCTGAACCTTCTGCTTCGACAATATCAAATCAATAGTGGAATCTGCCTGCATCTCGTAATCTTCAAAGCTGAGTCGATCCGACAGCTTCTCTCCACACCAGACCCATTGCTGTTGTGACGTGATCAGCCCCTCAGCCTCTTGGACTCGCGCCTTCGCTGATTTGATTGTCTCCGACGGCTCCACCGACAACGAAATCATCTTGCCCGCCATTGTTTGCAGGAAGATCTGCATTCCTCCCGGCCACTACCCAGAGCGCCCAACAACGCAGCTGCTAGCCTACGGCCATTGCGGCCTGCGTGCCTAGGCAAAAGCCGCCCGAGGTAACCCTCTTCTATCCTCCTCTTCTGCACCGTGCTTGAGCAAATTGAGCGGCAGATGCTGCTCCTAGTGTTGGCGGGAGTTCTCTGCCTACCTGACCATCCCCTAACAACTTCGAGGCGCAGTCACAGAATTTCCAGTGGAGGTCTTTGACCTTGTCCGCTGCCAGCGAACATCAATCGTCTATCGCTGGTGCCAAGGATTACAGAATCGCTTCTCCAGGTAGTCTCCAACTGTCGGAGTCTCTGCTGACAGGAGGAGTGGGCACCGATTCGGAGCTTCGGAAAGCAATAGGCTTAGAATCCCAGAAAGAAGCCATGCTGCTGGGTACCACCCAGCTAACTAAATTGGGGAGAAGCGGAGCCCTTGGAACCCGTTTTGGGACTTCAGTGCCATTGGAACACCTACTGCAAGGCACAGATGGAGTTGGTGAAATTATGACATTCGCGAACCGTCTCCGACTGGTAGAGTAATCCCAGATTCTGCGCCGCATCTTTTGCGCATCGCTGACAAGCGATAATTACACACAATGTACGGATCTTCTGCCGCATCTTGTTGCCAAAGGCGCAGGCGCCGCAACACCATCCGCCAGACCGGCCGAAGTTGAAGGTCCAACCTGGCCAGCATCTTTCTCGTATGCTGCATGTAGACGTCTTATACAATTTCAGTATCTGTCAGAAGCTTTAATGACACACGGCAAGCGTTACATAGACATTCATGTTGAGGTTCTGGTCCCTGGTCTATGGGCTCGGGAGCTTCAGCACCATGGTGTCGGTAATGTCTCAAGAGACTGAGAATGAGTCCCTGCCCTCCTTGCGTCACGCAACACTACTTAGTCGCTACTTTCCAAAGTTGCATCTCAAGGTCTTGTGGTAGCAAGGCTCTCAAGTCCCTCTGAATTTTGACCGTCTTAACCCCACGCCGTGGATGCCCAGTAGCCGACGTGCACTGTTTGAACTTCACCCGGAAGCTGAAACACTCTATACCTTGCCAGGCACCTCCGTTCCCAACATAGTGCGCTGCTGTATGCGCCGCCGGTCTATTGCCATGGCCTGATAGTGATGCATTGGAGCACTTGCCGCAAGACTGTCTTTGCCGTATCGTCTGGCTGCTGCCTCTCCGGCAGCTTTGGACCATTCCAAGAGACCAATAAGGACTTAAACTTATGCTAAGGGGGAGTCAGTGCTGTGGAGCAAGGAGTTGGTCCTTAGACCCCCTCGACATGACACCGAGTAAGTCCTGGAAAATGCATGCATGCGGCTCTTGTGGCTACTCGCTTCATGCCCATGGTGAACCATGAAGCAGCGGGTCCAAATAGATGAAGCGCATCCCGGTCCAATTCCAGTTGAAAGATCCACAGCTGGATGCAAGAGGCTACTTCAAGAGAGTCCGAAGAAGACAAATGCCCAAATTCGAAGTCGTGACCTCCTGCAATTCGCCCATAACGGAGTCAGTGCAGCTTCGCCGTTTGGGGGGGAGCCATGCCGCAACATGAAGGGTTCCTACAGGCAACACTCAGTGAGTGCCTTCGGCTTCCGGGGATGCGCGGCGTGGAGCTGTGCAGAACAGCCCGGCGTCTGGCCCTACAAACTCAAAACCCACGGAGTTTCTGAAGACCGCTTCGGCTGGCGACGATGCGCCGGTGTGGCCAGCTGGGTGTGATGCAAACCTCCAAGGCAATGTGACGAATACCTAGGCCCGTAGCCCGTACAAAATCACAAAGCTTCGTGCATGTCCAGGACGGCTCTAGCCTCTCGGCTTGTCAAGGAGATGTGATCTCGCAGGTCCAAGCATTGCACCAAGGCTACGCAAGGGGTATCGCTCTTCACTGGCATCCAGCTCTGAAGATCCGCAGGCTTACGTTCGACCATGTGCCAAGACGCCGACCGCCCCAAAAAAAAACGTCCTGACCGCTTTGTTGGGACTCTTCTGCTCAGGGCCGTTTCAGGCTCGGGCAATTCATGGAGGTCGCTGCGCGACCTTTTGATGAGCGGCTTTCAATAGCATCCTGGAATACCCCTGAGATGCCGAGGCCACGGCAATTCTTCTTTGCAACGGCATGGAAACACCAGTACAAATCTCAAATGTTCTTGCAAGTGGCACTCTGAGAGCTCACTGAAATCAAGCTTTCACGCAGGGAACTCAAGACTCCAATTGCGAGCTGAAACTAGTTCGCGCTTTGGACGAATGCAGATCGATCTGGTGGCCGATAGAGCTAAGTCCGAAGTCACTCGCACACACCGTGGGGAGCCGTCTCTACTCGGCTCAGCTGCCACGAAAGTACGGGTGAGAGCTTGTTTTTAGACCGTCCCCACACCCAAAACTTTCCGTGGAAACTGCAGGGTGCGAAACCCGAGCTTCAAGCGGTCCACTCTACACCAAGACCTCTTGAAGGTCTTCCGAAATGGAGTCCTCACGGACATGATTGTGCTTTCCACACTCTCCGGGCGCATCCGGCGCAGCAGTGGCACGGTGTGGCTGCAGCGCTGGCTTGTCCAATCGCGAATTCTTGCTGCCACAAACTTTGATAAGCCGATGTGCGGCGGCGTGACTGGCAACAGACTCGGCATGTTAATCTGTAAAGCGATGTCGAACGGGCTTCCATCGGCTTCCGAAGCTTGCGCGAAGTCTCCTGCCAGGTTGGGATTGATTGGCTCTTGCAAGGGAGGCCTGTGCGGCGACAACGACTGAAAGAGCGGCCGAGCAGGCCAACGAACTATGTGCATACCGGAGAATGACACGTTGCCCAAGGGCACAAGTGGCTTCCTTCCAAGCCTGCACTCTGCTCCAGCTCGCCCGTGGCGATGACATCACGTGCAATGAGAGAGACCAAAGGCCGTAGTCATGCCGTCGTGCTTGCAACCTACAGGACTTTCAGGTTGCCAGAAGCTTCAGTGAGGGCACTTGATTTTCTCGGGATCACCAAGCCGAGCAGGACAAAGTCTTCAAGCGACGGCAGCGAAAGCAGGACAGGCATAGTACTGGAAGACTTGCAAGTTCGCGCTCGGCGAGCCTCAGGTCCCTGAAAGAGCATCGACAAGGACTTCAGATTCAGCATTTGGCTGGAGCTTTGTGGCTGCTTTCGTGGCAAACAGCCATCACTGCAGATGCGAAGTGTTGCCGTCGCCGGTTACCCCCACTCGAAGCTCTGCGGACGGGCTCCCCCCGACTTACAACAACTTACTGCGTGCGCATCGGGGGCGAACTGGCAGCAGCACACAGGCAAGCCTTGCACTACAGGTAGGCATGCGGTCACCCAGATGCGACTGACACCTAGTCAGAAGCAAGCCCGGTTGTAGCTTCACGAGGTGCCTTGTACCTTCCGCATGCTTATATGTTGTGTGCTTGAAGCCAGGTTTTCATAACCTCGGACTCGCAGCATGACCACGCAAGAGGACGAAACGATAATGAGTGATCTAACCTCGCGAATACTCGAACCCATACGTGCAACAGCGCCAGATCTGATGCCGCGGCTGGCAATGTACAGCCATGAGTCCGAGATATCAGGTTCGTCCTTGCAAGAGTCCTTGTGATTGGTGGTGAATCCAGGGCACAGAGAGCCTTGCCCGCAGGTGCCTTGTAGGTTTCTGAAGCCATGCACGTGCGGGGACCTGCTGACAGACAGGGGAAGGGCACTGCATTGGCATGGACAGATTCGTGGACAGACAAGCTCCTCGTCGCGGGCGTTGCAGACAGTGGGCAAGGAAGACTGCAACTAGCGCTGCAGAAGTCCTCCTGAGTCCTCCTTGCATCAACTCGTTTTGCTGAGCTCTGCGTGGGGCAGAATTCGACCCACAGATCTGTCTTTAGATCTGGGTTGAACCCACACAAAAAAGGATCATGGGACTTAGTAAGTAGGGTTATATCTAAGGTAACTATACTTATAACCCCAATTGGGGGACTTATAACCCTACTTACTAAGTCCCATGATCCTCCAAGTAGGCCCAAGCTCCGACAAATCTTCTCGAGGTTCAGGGCTCGATAAGGTTTCGGGCTTGAGGGCTTGGGGCGTAGGATTGCATGGTGGAGAGCGGGTCTGGGGTATGGCCTCCGTAAAATACCTGGCATCATGGGAGTTTAGGATTCAGA